ATAGGTGGATGTATAGGTGTATAGATGGATGTATAACTGTATAGGTGTATAGGTGGATGTATAGGTGTATAGATGGATGTATAGGTGGATGTATAACCGTATAGGTGGATGTACAGGTGTATAGGTGGATGTACAGGTGGATGTATAGGTGGATGTATAACTGTATAGGTGGATGTACAGGTGGATGTACAGGTGTATAGATGGATGTATAGGTGGATGTACAGGTGTATAGATGGATGTATAGGTGGATGTACAGGTGTATAGATGGATGTATAGGTGGATGTATAGGTGGATGTATAGGTGTATAGATGTATAGATGAATGTATAGGTGGATGTACAGGTGTATAGGTGGATGTACAGGTGTATAGGTGGATGTATAGGTGGATGTATAACTGTATAGGTGTATAGGTGGATGTACAGGTGGATGTACAGGTGTATAGGTGGATGTATAGATGGATGTATAGGTGGATGTACAGGTGTATAGGTGGATGTATAACTGTATAGGTGTATAGGTGGATGTACAGGTGGATGTACAGGTGGATGTAGAGAGGGCTGCATTGACAGTCTTCAGTAGAACGGTTCTGATGATATGCAAGCTGCAGGGATGTAAACGACCTGGAAGGTTTCTTCATGTTTCTTCATTAGATGTTCGGGACTTTCGGGGCTTAGTCCTCGTCAGGACCTTGCCTCTGCTGGTAGAATTGCTCAATGTTGGTTGGTGTTAAGGGTGTTAAAGCAAGCGTGGAGCTCTTTCAGCTCATCTGGTAGTGCACTGTCGCTGGCTGTCACCCTTTTTTGCAGCATTTAATGGGGCAATATTCTCAATGCATGTGCTGAGGTTGCTAGTAATCACTGATGTAAAGTCCTCTGAATCCACAGACCCGTCCTCACTCAAGGCAGCAGTCTCAACCTCATCAGCAGGGATAACGGTCACTGTTTAACTTTTATGAATGTCTCACCTGTCTTTGACCTGCAGCAGGTAGCAGATGAGGCTGTAGCCGGCGCAGCTCTGCACAAAGTTCCTCTGAGCGGTGAGGAAGGCCTCTGTGGTGAAGCTGCCGTGTTCCTGCAGGAAGTAGTCAAGCAGCGACAGCTGACTCTGCTTCCTCACCTGGAGGACACACACACGAAAACTGCGTTTCAGTCTCACAGACAAAGAAAACTAACTTTCCCAGAATCCCCTGCGTACCTGGTGCAGGGAGACGGCGTTGAGGACGGGCTCGATCATCCCGCTGTCTGAAGACATGACGAGGATCTTGTAGGGTTTGATCCACAGAGGAACGCGCTCCTGCTGCCAGATGGACTGACCAAGGAAACAGACTCGGCTTCAACATGGAAGCAGTTTAACCACGTACCGTTGTGTGCATGTGTCTGTACTGCGTCTGTACCTGCAGCTGTCTGAGGACCTGATAGGCCAGCAGCTCCTGCCTCAGATCGTCCCCACACTTCACGATGACCGACAGCAGCCTCCAGGTGTGCAGGTGGCCGTACGGAGACGCCTCTCGGATCCGCCTGAACACAAACGGCGTTAGCGCGAGGAAGACGTTGTGGAGCGTTCGCCTGCTCGGCTTCACAAACCCACCTGACTTTCTCCTCCCAGGGCTCTTTGAGGGCGACGGCCGACGGGTCCTCGGGGTCCCTCCTGAATGCGGTGGGAGTGTGAGCAAGGTTCTCCGATAGCCGCCGTCTGAAAAACAAACGAGGTCGGAGCGTCACGGCAGAACGCACAGCTGAAGATCGAAGCTTCACAGGACTGCTGAGGCCATTTCATCCTCAGAAAGAAGAGTTCCTGAACGTGCTGCTCTTCAGATCTACACTCCTGGACAACAACTCATCATAATTACATCTGCACAGCAGGTGATGCTGGTGTCCTATCAATATGGCAACTACAAAGAAAGCTTCTATGGGAAACTAATAACTAAGAAAAAGGTCGAGTCTCTGTGGGCAGCGAGGAGAACAAACTCCTCCAGATCACTGGCGGGGTCCCTTTATTGCTTTAATTACTTTAAAGACAACTTCAGATCACATTTTGTTGCTGGTAGTTATTTTTGAAGCTTCCTGTGGAGCTCCTTCATAGCTTGAATTTACTGAAACTACAAACACACAATTGTAGTGTGGCGGGTGTGGTCTGTGGCTCAGCTTCTAGGGAGGGGTGGTGCACTGGGTTCAGTGGGCTGCTCCAGAGGCTCCTGTTTGAGCAGCACAAAGGCCTAAAGGGGGAGGAGCTGAGAGCAGAAAGCTGCAAGTGAGCGGGCATCAACAGCAGTGAGACCGCGGCCGCCAACAGCCTGGAAACGCTAAATTGTAAACACGAAGTGCGAGCCATGAAGCGCCGACATGCACGTTGGCGTCGTGCTGGGCAGAACCAACACTAGCTTGTGTTACACGTAGCTTACCACGGGTAACACGGCGTAATATTTCGTTTGAACTGCCCGCGTTTCTGCTTCTAAGCTCCGCCTGTGGAGGGCAACCCGCTGTTTACCTGATGTCTCCGGCGGCGATGAACACCGGCTCTTTGCTCTCCAGACTCGTGATGCTGTCGACTGAAAACTGACTGATGTTGTCGCTGCTGCTGGTCTGAGCCTCCATCTGCAAACAAATGCTTGTTACTGTGCAGAGTGACAGAGTACTCAGGGTTTACTGCAGGCCGTACGGCGACGCGTTCACATACCTCCACCTGCAGCTGCCCGATGTCATCGGTGGCCCACGCCTCGTCGTCGTTGTCGTAGTTCGGGACGGTGGAGAAACTTCCCGCTCTGTGCTCCGATGTCATACCGCTGCTGCCGTTAGCTGCGGTGCTGCAGTCCAGGTTCTCTGCGGAGCGGGCCGAGCGTATCCGCGTCTCCGGGATGCGAACGGGAACGGGAGACGTCTCGAAGCTGTCGCAGTCCAACACCTCCACGTAGATGATGTACGGAGCCTAAAGGAGGAGAAGGAGCAGCGGTCAGAGGACATTGGACAGATGTTCTCTGGCACATGTGGCGGTTACACCGGAGGTCACCTTGTCCTTGGAGTTTAGGACCACGGCCTGCGTGTGCGGCACCCTGCAGACGTGGTGCTGGTGCTCGGCGGTGGGCAGCCACACTCGGGCCGGCAGCTTGTGGTTGAGCAGCGACAGCTCGGAGATCAGACGCTGCGTCTTCTGCTCTTTGGTGGGCAGCGTGGCGAGACGCTTCCCGATGCACAGCAGAGACTTGATGAACTCCCTCTGAGGACGGAGACGCTCGGGCTGCAGACGCACGAAACACGAGTCATCGTTTCTAACCACACACACGCACGTTCCCTGATGCTCCGCCCACAGAGGCGTGTGAGCGACTCATCAGTAGCTCGAATGGGCCGTTTAAATCATTTCGTGGTTTTATCTTTATGATGATTGTGGCTCAGCTGCAGGGGAGGGGCGGTGCCAGGGAGGCTGGAGGGACACGATTGGACTGATGAGGTTTCCCTTTATCAGTGATGTCAGAGAGAAGCGTGCAGCTGGCGTGGGCGCAGAGCCAGAAAAGCGAACGCCATGTGTCGGGTTACAGTCCTTACAACGACGGTCAGCTGACTGTAGGTCAGTGAGACCGTTAAAACCAGGATGTCAAAGGTCAGAGAAGACAAACTGCCATCGAACCGTCACAGAGAGAAGCGTGTACTCATTAACACTGAGCATGACTTTAAACACGTTCAACGCCACCGATGATACCCGCCCCTCCACGCAGTTTCATTACTGATGACACGTCGGTGTGGGAGCTGAATCTTCAGCCCTGAACCACGCAGACTGAGACCATTATGTGAAAGGAGGAAGGGGTGTAAGCGTTGGGAGACGGCGAGTGTGGTGGTACCGCCCAGCTGCACCGAGGCACGAGGAGTCGGGGAAAAAGTGAAGAAACGAGTGAAGTGATTTTATTTTCAGCCATTTTTCACAGCGTGTTTCCTCCCGTGTAGCAGTGAAGCCATAAAAACACTAAAAGCTTCCCTGGAAAAGGCTGAAGTTCAGTATCCAAAGTGTGTTTGAATGGCAGAGACGTGTGCATGCAGCTCAGCGTCTGAGCTCAGCGTCTGACAGAGTGGCTCAACGTGTGACGACGCTGCATTAGAGGGAGAATATTTAAAAGGAGCTGCTGCTCGTTTTCTCTCTGACTGTCAACACTCCTCATCCTCTGCACCTGTGAGGAGGAGGAGGGAGGTTTCTCCGCCTCACTTTGAGTTTCCATCAGACTGATGAAGAGCTCTGCTGCTCTTCCTCTCTCAGTGAAAGGGGTCAACCCCCCAGACTGAAACGTACAGGTGACATCACTCACAAAGGATCAGCTGGGAACTCTGACCTGTAGATGAAGGCTGGGACTTTCTCACTACAGCTTAAATCAGAGCGATGAAGGGCTGCAGCTATCAGTTATTAATCGATCGATTATCCCATTCATTAATAATCAATATTCTCTCTAAAATGCAAACCAATGTTTTAAAGTTTACCTGCAAACAACATCTGTAAAAACAACTAAACATGTTCTTAAATGCAAAACTATAAACTCCCATAAACTGAGGCATGTGTGCTTTCACTGCGTGAGTTTGGGTCGTGGTCACTGCAGAGGCTGTCGGGGGCGTGGCCACTCTGCGCTCATACGCTGCTGCCTAATGCATTTCTATTGTAGCTCTGTTTGCAGGCGAAACGTGGGTAAAACGTTTCCATGGTGACACAAAGCCTCGCATTGAACGGATCATCGGAGCAAAGGACAGATTAGTCGATGAATTGTCGCAACTCTAATGGACACGTCCGCCTCGAGGTCTGCTCGCTCCCATCGGCACCGAAAACGTGAACGTGGGTCAAATCTGTAAGGGGAGGGCCTCCGCAGAGGAGCTGCATGGGTTCAAATGTGACGCTGATTCAGTTCAAGTCAGCGTCACATTGAACAGGTTTAAGTTTATTAGATTGGTCAGTGTTGCTGGTCTAATATAGTACTTTTTGCAAACAGATATAACTTTAGTTTTGTTTCTTTAAACTTGAGTATGAACTTATACAAAATGCAGCAAGATATTTAAAAAAACATTTTATTGATTATAAAATACGCTATATCGGATTTATATCGGTATCAGCAGATATCCAAATTTATGATATTGATATCAGACATAAAAAAGTGATATTGTGCATCTCTAGTACCTGTAATACCTACAGCTGCTCTAATCGCTCTAATAGGATATTATGGTCAACAGTATCGAACGCTCCACTGAGGTCTAGCAGGACCAGCACAGAGATGAGTCCACTGTCAGAGGACGAAGATCATCTGTAAGCTTCACTAAAGCTGTTTCTGTGATGAGCTCTGTTGATGATGTAGCTGTTTGGATCTTTGATATGAAAGCATTTGTTTATGTTTAAGTTGTTTGTTGCTGGTTTTTAGTTTGTTTTTTGTCTTTTTGGAAGCAGACACAGTCTCTATGGAGATGGTTTTGGGGGGGTAGCAGGAGGAGAGAAGCTGCAGAGAGGCGTGTAAGACTGCAACTCTGCTTCCTGGTCCCAACTCTGGATACTCATATTTTGGGGGTTTAATAAATTTGTCCATATTTGTAGAAATGAGAGCTGCTCCATCCAAAGTGGGATGGATGCCGTCTCTCCTAACAAGACCAGGTTTCCTCCAGAAGGTTTGCCAATTATCTACGACGCTCACGCAGCAGCAGATCTCATGGCTCATTTGTTGATTATAGTACTGGGGTCAGTAACCTTTGACTCTAGAGCAGCGGTGTCCAACTCCAGGGCTCGAGGGCCGGTGTCCTGCAGGTTTTAGATGTGTCCTTGATCCAACACTGCTGTTGACCTCAACATGACGTTCTCCAGAAGCTGGTAATGAACTGATCATGTGATTCAGGTGTGCTGACCCAGGGTGAGATCTGAAACCTGCACCGGCCCCTGGAGGCCTGGAGCTGCCCACCCCTGCTCTAGAGGAACAGCTGAGAGAATCTCTGGCTCACCTCTTCGTGGACCGCCTCCACTTTTGGGTTACTCCCAGACCGTCGGAGACCAGCGCCAGGTCCATTGCTCGCCATGGCGGCATCCGACTTGGATCTCTGGTGGGTCCTCCTGGACGGGGAAACAAACACCTCGGCTTGTCCCTGTCCAGGGCCGAACACGGAAGAGGCCTCGGCGTTGCTGCCATCGTGTCTGTGATGGCGATGGCGGCGGTGAGACGGCGAGGACGCGGGGCTGTCAGATGGAGCAGGGTTGAGCTCGTCGGACAAGATGAGCTTTCGCAGTTTGGTTCCTCTGGAGTGGCGCTGGGTGGAGATGTGCATGTCGGAGGAGTAGGCACCGAGCAGCCAGGCAGAGAGCAGCGAGAAGGTGATGCTGGCGCTGCAGCGGTGGATCTACCGGACACAAACACCTGCGTGAGAACCCCACCGACGCAGCGGGTCGCCGACCCGTTCTCTAGCTAACGTTAGCTGAGCTAGCTTAAACTTAGGGACTCACCAGGTACGGCCGGATGGCGTCGCCCACCTCTGTGTCCATGTGCACGTACATGTTGAGCAGCTGCGGCAGGTAGAAATCGACCTCGCTGTCCGGGAAGCTGAAGAGGCGGTTCCCGATGTACGCCTGCACACCCGGCTCCTTCGACTTGTACAGGTAGGAAATCGCCATGGAGACGTCGAACAGCTTGGACTCGAACAGGCGCAGCAGCCACGACTGCTTTGATGACGACGGTGGCGAGAAAGGTTCTGGCCGAGCCGAAGGACGCGGGTCGGGCTGGGACGGCGTGTCGGTGTCTTCCTCATCTTCCTCTTTGATGGAGCCGGCGTCTGGGCTGATGAGCTGGGTCACGGCGCCGCGCTCTGCCACATCTGCCGGGTGCTGCCGCTGATCGTCCTGCAGCTTGACTTTAAGGAGCACTTCCTGGCACGCCTTCAGCGCCACCTCCGGGTCGATGACTGGAACAGCAGAACAGAGAAATCGATATGGATCAAAACTAGCGGAGGATTACCGCGATGGCGTTACTGTGGCCCCACCCACACCTCGCTCCAGATTCATCCTAAGCAGTGAATATTTTGGACAGTTCATTGGAAAACCGTTTCCTCTCCTTGTTACCTTGCTCGACACCTAGGTCCATCTCCATGGCGTCCTCTGAGATGACGTCCAGCGGAGGACTTGGTCCTCGCTGGTCGCCGCCACCGCTCGACGTGCCTCCGCTGCCGATGCCCTCGCTGGCGCTGCTGCTACCGAGGCTGCAGGTGCTGCCGATGCTCCCACTAGGGGAGGAGCTGCGGGGGCTGGCGCTGGGGGAGGAGGCCTGATCCCCGTGGGTGGGCGGAGGCAGCTGCAGCTGAGGGCGAGCGGGACGGTGATGATGATGGTGATGGTGAGTGAGGAAGTCTGAGGAACTCTCAGAGCAGGAGGATGAGGAAGAGGAGGCGCTGGAGGGGGAGGAGGGGCAGGAGAACGTGGTAGGAGAGGAGGACGAGGCGGGGGGAGGGGGTTGTGCAGAGTGGGAAAGGCGGAGCGAGCGCACAGCCGGGGACCCTTCGGCATCGGCCATTTTGGAAGAGGAGTCCTACAGAGAGACAGAGAGCACGAGTCACATGACACACCTGAGAGGATTCAAGGTCCCCCTACCTGTTCACCCCCCAACACAGATCAGCGAGGACGAGGTCACATGACTCCTCCTGGCTTCAGCTCGTCATACTTCCTGTTTTACAGGAATTCAATTTTATTTATATGGTGTCAAAAAAAAGTCGCCTCAAGGCAAAAAGTTTATATAATTATTTACACTTGTTGTGCAAACAGCCTGCAGAACGTCATTAATGCAGTCTGAGAAGTAACAAAGTAACAAAGAAACACTGAGAACGACTCAGTGTTT